ATAAGTTCTAAATAAAATGCGCTACTTGAGAAGTGCAGAAAATTTTTTCTCATACTTTTGTGCATGTGAGGGCGGATGTGCCTTTTACCTCTTTTGGTACAATTTTATTAGGTATGTAGCATACATTTGGGCACTAAGTCTTATAAGTAAGCTTAACATGTATCATCATGTACATTGGGGTGGTCCAAAAATAGTAAAGTCGGAATTTTAATGCCCCCATCCCCTAGAATTGTTCTATACCGTAAAAAATGTACCCCTAATTTTTATTTTGAAATCAAAAAACATTTATGAGTGCTCAAAGCGCTCAAAGCTTTCCATGTATTTTATATGGCAAAGAAACAACTTTTCGTAGAAATGGTTTTCGATTGGTAAACTCTGGTTTTTTTAAGCATTTTTTTAATACTAAGGTTTTTTTTATTGGTACCCCATTGCATTTTGCGGCTCTTTTGGCGGACCTATAAAATATATTTACCGTGAAAAAATGGTTAAATAAACAATTGGATATTATCACTGGGAATCTCCTTTCAAGAATTATATACCATTTCTACGAAAAGTTTTTTTTCTCATATAAAATACATGGAAAACTTAAAAATTATGAGCGCTAACTATTTTTTTGGTTTCAAAAATAAATAAAAAAAATCCGACTTTGAATTTTTTTTTGGACCACCCTAGTGTGTATCTTGAGAAAGAGGATCGTACAGAGCGTTTTATTGTGTAGAATTTCGTAGAATTTAATTCACATTATCGGATTAAACCGAGGACAGTAGTTTGTGCTCCATTGGTCTGTATTTATTAGCAGTGCTATACTTAGTATAAATATTCCTTTCCCGTTTGCTATTCATTATAAACCTTACGAATACATACTTATATTCAAATATGTATGTATTTAAAATTTTTGCTGCAAATTAAGGAAGCAAATATGCATGCAAATACATATATTTCATCATTGCCGAACAACTCAGCAAGTTAAAATTGTCCACATCTGCGCCCTTTGTCAACAAAATTTCGAGATATTAATCTTCTTTGTGAAAATTCATTAGCACAACCGGCCAATAACGTGGGAAGGCACCGGCTGTTACCCACCTTTCAACAGCTAGCAAATAACTAAATGTATGTGTTGTTGGCGTATGTGGTGCTAGCCACCGCGAATGGCATATAAATTAAATCTAAATGATGTCTTTGTTCGTTTATTTGGCTATAAAACATAAATTGCCCAGAAACGCGCTAATAAATCAGATTATAAAAATGAATTCAGTACACATTTGAATTTTTGTGTGTGAGTGCATGCTTATGTACATACCCTGCAGCAAAATTTAGGGACAGTCTGTCAAAGCGCTAGTTCCGCCCTACAAATTTCAGAACTGTCTCTGAACTACTGAAAAAGGGATGCTGAGTTGGACGGTTGAAACTCATATGTTGCTAGTTGCGCTGTCATCAATGTTACTCATCCTGGTCATGTGAAAGCTGACAAAAGATGCACAAATGTAATATACTATATTTTTTCGATTTTCTTAGACCCTAAAACTAATAACAAACTGTTTTCGTTTATTTAATATGTAATTCTCTACATAGTTTATGGGGCAACTGCTAAAATATTTCCAAAAAAGTCGTTATTGGTAACATTAATGTCATTTTTATACATATCTACGTACGTATAAAATTTAATGCAAAATATAAAATTTAGTAAGCTACACTTGACAGGAAAGGTCTGCGTACACCATTTATTTTTTAAATATTCACAATATATTGAGAGTTAAAATTATTTTTATTATTTAAATGATCATGCTTAAAATAAAATAATATTAACCGTGTTTTAAAACTTTATACAAAACGAAAGTTAAACTTAACGATTTTTCATCAAAGTGTTTGACTTTTTAATCAGATTTAAAAAAATAAACCAAAGTGGTAAACAATCTCACTTTGAAATGTGAGTGCTATTGATATGGACGATACTGTACATACGTAAATGTATCACTAAGCACCCGAAACAAGGCGAATTCATATTCGATTCAACAAATACAACAATTATCTGTATTTTTTTTTTTTTGTTTTAGCTGGTGATTGTCAAATTTCAGCTATTCTTCTCCGAATGAAAAAGGGCGACAGAAAATGCAAACACTTTCACGTTTTCACTCACTCACTAGCAAAATATAAAATTTTGACAATCAAACGCTACACACAGCTGATTAAACAACACCACCTTATATAAATTCGCCTTGACCCGAAATGTGTAGTTATGCAGTGATTTTTTTTTAATTTCCAATGTTTTTCATATTAAATATTTTTCGTTTAGTTTTTATTTAAGTACTATGTCACATACTCCATAAACCATTTAAATTCAAATTCCTAACTGTGCTGCAAACTTGATAGAACTATTTCGAGTATTCTGTTTTGTAGCCCATCAAATTTTAGTGTAGTAAAGTATAATCTTGCATCTTAAACAAAAATATTTAAATATGAGAATGCCTTCAAGAGCGTGCGTAAAAAGAGTTATAAAAAATCAGCGCGATTAATTATACTAAAATTTAATGGGCTATAGAACTGCATACTCATAAACTGATTTAAAATATTGAAGTTTTTATAACAGTTTCTAGAATTCTACTAAATTTCCAACACAGTTAGAAACGTGAATTTATTTGTTTATGTTATAATACTTATGAGCCATCCTTAAATAAAAAATTTACGAAAAATATTTAGCATGACAACTATTGTGAATCTTCAAAATTCTATATTTCTTATGAGATGCCGGAAAGTCTATGTATTACATTTCAATAAATTTAATGCAATTTAACGCTGAGTTATCACGAATAACCATTCAATATATCACCGTTTTTCTCATTTTTTGACACGACTTAGTTCAGATTTTTAATTATAGGTATCACAGAAATACCCATTATACGTAACAAATATAAATTATTTTTAAGAATAACGGTTTTAGAAAATAAAGGAATAATTGACACACAGTTTGCTTTAAAAAGTAAATTAGTTCAAAACAAATAGCTCTTTAAACATAAAATGAAGTATTTTTATTTACAAAATTGTATGCGTGCTTATTTAAAGAAAAGGCTCTATACTATACTTATTAGAACCAGCTCAAAACTAACCACATTTTTTCTAGCCCGCAGGTGACCCTTTTTGAACTATCTAAGAACTGTTGTTATATGAACTGTACCAGAACCATCTAAGCCAGAGTCAGCTCAGAACAAGTTCAAAAGTTCTGCAGAGGGCGACAATTGTCACTTCGTAGGACATCGCCATGTTAAAAAAGACAGTTGCAAGCATTGAGTTGGGATAGATGAAGAACCAGTACCGTCCCTTTTCAGGCTAGCTCAGCGTAAGTTCTGAACTAGTTTGATTTGCTGCAGGGTATGTATATACTTACATATGTATATGTATGTATGTACATCTGTCTATATTTGCATGTAGTATGTACATATATCAATTGCATTTGATGCCTATGCAATGATAGACAATTTTAATTGGTGCCAAAGCCACTTAGTTAATTTAAATGGGCGGTTTTCCGGCCTTAATAATCTATTTATTTTGAATTTTCAAATTAAGGTCTTTTTAAAGCTGAAGTGAGAACTATTCAAGGGACATAATGACACAAACATTATAAGGTAGACCCGTTCGCTTCCTTCGTCGGCCATGATTTGATTCTGACGTTTGCAAATATTTTAAAATCATATCATTGAAAATGAAATTATTCAAAATTGTTGTTGTTGGAGATTTAAAATGAGAATGTGTATGCGAGTTTAAGTTCATCGTACAGCATTCTAAGTAAAAACACTATGAGCTGGTTGCTTACGGCTGAGATTACCTATTTTTTTTTTGCATTTCCTGTTATCTTTTACAGTTTCTTCCATTTCTCTTATAATTCATTTCAAATAAATCAATTCACTAAATTAAAAAACCCACCTACAGTCTGCCAGAAAGAAACGGTAAGAAGAAGATTTACGTTACTTACACTGTGCAACAATTTCAGGGTCATTATCTGGGGGCGGAATGATTCCAACTCAGGATGAAAGACATAGACCTTTACAGTAAAACCTTTAAATCTTTTCGTATTCCAGGGTCAAATTTTACTTTAATATGGCCAATATTAAGTTTGTTTCTAGAATAAGTGAAAAAAGTCTTAAAATCGTATCGGAGCGAAATACATATCGAGCCCTAACCGTCAAAATAACGTAAACGACATTTTTTTTCAAAATTTTCTTTTTGATGCAGAATTGCATCTAGATGCTCAAGGAATAGTTCTGCATAAAAAAAAAACAAATTTTTTAAATGTCGCTTACGTTATTTTGGCGGTTAGGGCTCGATATGTAGTTTGGGTACATAAAGTAAAATTTCGCGTGGAATGATTTCGTAGAACATTTTAACCCATCAGCTCTCTCATGAGTGAGTCGTTTTTACCCGTATTTGGAAAATCTAAATAAAGTGGCGTTTGGGAGGTCGCTAGAGGGTTAAAATGTTCTAGCAAATTATTTTGCGGAATATTTCACTACTAGGTTTCTAAGACAAAATCTTTATACAAAGAACATAAAACTCCACGTAAAACAAAAAACAAATATGTCCCCTTGAAATTTGCAACAAATTTTACGCTTTCTTATTTATTTTGTTCATCAATAGCTCTTTTCGAGAGTGATGGTAATGGGCTTGAGTCATCAGTATCGCAATCTGAGTGAAATTTTCTGGAACATTTTAACCCTCTAGTGTTCTCCCGAATCTCATTTTTGCAAACTTTCTAAAAAAATTTGTCAAAAGACTCTTTACTGAGAGAGTGAATGGGTTAAAATGTTCTAAAAAATGATTCCAGCGATCTATTCTCCAGCCATTACAACCTAACTGATTCTTGCATAAATATGTATTTACTTCTAGATCTCAATATTTTTTCTAAAATATTTGTTGAAAAAAGCATTCACCGAGACAATACAATGATATACAAGAAGCAATAACTGCAATTTCTTAACGATGCATAAATGTTTCTCTTTTCGTTGCAGGTATGTAAACGCACCAGTGTGGGTATTCACTAACTACAATCATACAGAATATTTTTTCGAAAATATAAAGGGACATTGATTATCTATATTTTGGTAAATATAAAACCAAATTTGGAAAAAAATATATACAAACATACATATATAAAAATTAATGAAGCGTATTCTTGTTTTTGTACGAATCGAAAATCATGAAATTTTCCTATCATTTTCTATATAAAAATTTCACATTTTCGTTTTTTACAAAAACAAAAATACGCCTCATGTGCTAGCATTTGGTTTGCCACAAAAAAATATAATTAAAAATAACACCTGTATCCGATTTAATTAATTGCAAAAATAGCACGCTCAGTAGATTAGATTAAATAATTGCCAGCAGAGAAATTGACATTTTGGCAATTGAAGTGATATAGGGTAAGTCAGTCCAAATTGTGTTTTTAGGTGAGCCCAAGTTCATTTCCGCGCTTGTACACGTAATTAGTCCTTGTAAAAAAAAGGAGGAGCAGGAGGAGGAGGAGGAACAATCATCTTGCAATGAGTCCTTTTATAATTAGCATGCGACCTTGACTAAGGAATTGAAGTTTGTCACGTTCTCAGATTAAATTTGTTCCATTTTATATCTACAAACGATATTAAAGAATTTCTGCAAGGTTTAGTGATTTAAATGATTAAATTTCCCTACCACAATTGCTTGCGACTTGACTGGTTTACGAGCAGTTTTTGTTCATTTGACTGATTCAAGCCAATTTAATTCGTCATTTGAACGACAGCTGCAATTGTCGTACAAAAGACCTTAAACTGTCTCTGCTGGAATATTCCCACTATTGCAGGGATCACACGATTTGTACATATTTATATACACACTGTGGCAGTCACAGAGTGGTGTTGACTAGAAATTTTTACCGCGAATGAGTTCCCTAAGATCAACACGCTAGTGCCATAAAAAAATCATCAACTTTTTTCCCATCGTACAAGCAACATAGCTTACAAATACATACATATTTATATGCCTGTATGTATGAATATAATGGTATATACATAAGTGCTCAGAATTAAATTAATAAATCGCTAAATTTAAACTAATTCAAACACTTAAGAAGTTTTTAGTACTCTAATCAGGCAATCAATTGCAGAGACATAGAGATCACTAAACTGCCGACGCCGACATGTGGAACAATTTTTTTATTAATTTCAAATTAGATATTTTTGCTAAAATAGACTTAATTCAAATAATAATTTTTTATGAATTTCAATTAAGTATGCGCACGTTGAGAGGTAATTTCCCAACTAACCAACATACAATATTTACTTGGTTGTAATTTTTACTTAGGTCGCTGGTTTGTCGGAAGAACGACACATGTTATTTCAAAAGTAAAATAGGTGAGAAAAACGGTTTTAAAGTTTGCAGTCAGGTTTTTTTTCTCAATCGGATCAGTTTATGTTAGGTTAGCTTCGCTAAGATCCATCTAGATCCCGTAAATAGACAACAACTGGTGCTTAGTTTCGCCAAAAGTTACTATTGATCAAAGGACTTTTTGGTCAATGAGAAGAAAAAAAGAAGAAGCTAGAACGAGCAATCCAAAAATTTTCAAGGGTGCCCTTGAAATAATTATAGAGGAATATATGTGCTGCAGTGTAAATTTCGGCTTGATAAATCTTACAGCCACGACAACGAATTTCCACCTGAATAAAAGGGGACAGTATACCAACTTGAGAAGTGTCTCTGTGGTTGAACAAAATTAAAAAAATTATTTAACTAAAAAAATCTTTTCTTGGTTTATGACGTTCTTTCAGCAAGCAAGCCATACATACACATATTATATTCAATCCTCCATATGCGGACGTACTATGTTGCCAAAAATAAATCATGTTTCCACCCAATTCTGGCTGTTGGGCATTCACACCGCTGATAACCCAACTGTCTATGCCAAACCAGCATTGAGTTGTTCGAATTCTGTTTGAGGTCATTATTTGGTGAATTTTTCGTCTGCTGCATAGATAAGACCTTACTATAAAGCTATTTTTAATAATATCAAAGTAGGAAGTGAAATCATACTTGCATAGATCTTATACCCTGCAGCAAAATAATGAGCGCAAATTATTCGAATGCTCCTTTTAATTAAACGGATTTTTTAAATTGCGGATAAGGTCTAAGCCTAAACAAATGATGGCGCAACACTTTCTGAATAACTCTTCGAAGTCTGTATGAAGATAATATCTTCAAGTATTGCTTGTCAGGAATCCCCAGCGACTGATACTAGTACAGGAAATAATGAGTTTTTGTAAGATAATGGCATTCCTTTAATAAAAAAAAAAATAAAAAATATTAAAGAAACAAAAGAAAATTAGGAAAATTAGGAAAAATTTGTTAAAATATCGTCTCCCTATTTGATCACTATATATGTATTTAGCAATGTTGTGACCAGCACTTTTCAAAAAATTATAAATTATATAATTAAATATTAAAAAATGTACTTTATTTTTGAAGCCCAAGCAAAATTTTGGTAAATTTTACGATTTTAAATGATATTATTTTCTAAAAATTTCGCTAATTTGCAGTAGCCAGAAAAAATTTAATTTGAAGTAAAAATTCGGCATTCAAAACACCGGTAATCGGTACAAAAATATTTCGTTTTCTTATTTTTGAGTAGAGTTTTAACTGGTAGCATACAAAAAAATTTTAAAATTAGTTAAAAGAAAACGTGTTCATAATAAGTAAACAGTAACCGGTGCAAAAAATAATTGAAAACACTTCAGTAGACATAAGGAAATTAACTTCTATGAAATTTCAGTCAGTCTTTCTTCTTTTTTGAATTCTATTGAGAAAATTTAAATTTGTGGAAACGGCCGAATTTTCGGAAACCACCCAGTGCTGCAATATTTCTTCCCCCAAAACCTTTTCTAAATAACAACTCTTCCGAATAAAAAATTACCAAAATCCCTTCGGTTGTTTTCGTAGAAAATTTTTTTAATGAATGATGTCAATTTTTTATATTCTACATTACAATTATCATAAATGGAACAGAAACACTTATTCTTGAAAACTATATACGGAATAATTTTAATCGTTCAATGAAACGAATGTTTAGGTATTTATATCGACTTGGATCTCTGTAAATATTGTTATCAATATATAAGGCACCGTTTTGACAAAAAAAAAATAGTTTTGAGGTTAACGCTATATGCTACTTTGACTGCTTTTTTTGCTAATAATAATGACTTTCATGCAGATATTTTTATATAAT